TGGAGGGCCGGTGTCCTGCAGAGTTTAGCTCCAACTTGCCTCAACACACCTGCCTTTAAGTTTCTAGTATGCCTAGTGAGAGCTTGATTATCTGGTTCAGGTGTGTTTAATTAGGGTTGGAGCTAAACTCTGCAGGACACCGGCCCTCCAGGACCGAGTTTGGACAGCCCTGCCTGAGCCTATTGAGATTTATTGGATGGGAGGTGCACTATATGCACTGTGCATTCATCAACTGAAAACAGAATTGATTGGGATTTAAGAATCGATATTGATTCATAAAAATGAGAATTTTTTTAAATTTTTTTTTATTTACCCAGCCCGTTTAGTTGTTTAGTTTAGTTTAGTTTTAGTGGCCTCCGCTGTCACTGCTGTGTGTTGAACATAAAAAGTGAAGCACAGTCTCTGTTCATCTGTTCTCTTCATAAATAAATAAATAAACATATATGCTTGTCCTGTAGCTTCATTATTTAAAATGAAAACGTGAACAAAAATAAAAGCAATTAAATGTGTCATTATAATTAAAATATGGAAATTAAAATGACGGGTAATAATAGATTATGACGGAATTTTACGACCCTGTCCGTCAAAATGACAGGCAATGTTAAAGTCTAACGCAACCTCTTGTGTAGATATATATGATTTTAATAGAAAAAAAGGAAGATTGAATATATATATATAATTATTATAAATATAATACTATGATGATTTGATAGATTTTTTACATTTTTTTATGTATGTATGTATGTCAATGTCATTTTGACGGACAGGGTCGTAAAAATTCCGTCATAATCTATTATTACCCATCATTTTGATTTTCATATTTTAATTATAATGACACATTTAATTGCTTTTATTTTTGTTCACGTTTTCATTTTTAATAATGAAGCTACAGGATGAGCAAATAGGTTTATTTATGTATTTATGAAGAGAACAGATGAAGAGAGACTGTGCGTCATTTTTCATGTTCAACACACCGCAGTGACAGCAGAGGCCACTAAAAACAACTAAACATGCTCGGGCTGGGTAAAAACAAAAAACAAAAAACGATTTCTCTATTTCAATACATTCTAATTTTTATGAATCAATATCGATTCTTAAATCCCAATCAGTTCTGTTTTCAGTTGATGAATGCACAGCACATATGGTGCGCCTCCCATCCAATAAATCTCAATAGGCTAAGCTTTGTGCATTGTTACTTTTGATATGAAACAAAGTCTCAGATTTCAAATTCTGTCCATTTTATTAGGAAACACAAGCAATAAATACCGTTTTGGTGCTCTTTAATGTGGCGAGATAGATCGCTGTAGCTTAAACTGTGTACTCGCCTGTGCGTAATTAAACGCATAGCAAAAGACTGGTGACAGTTTTATTTTTGTTCTGTATCTGATGATCCCGTGCTCTTCTGCCACACTGCAGCGCACTTGCCACCAACTGGACAGGTGTGGGAATTACAGTTATAAATTACAATAGATCACCCTCAGTGTAATCTGTCAAAGTGACGCACGGCCTTCAGATTTTTCCGTCACTGCTAAAAAAATCCGTCAATGATGGAGCATTTTCGGTTAACGTGACCTCTGATCTACACACACATATATTATTATATTTCTCCTTATTACAGTAATGACATTTGGAGAAGTTTGACAACAATTATAAAATATTACATTTTATTTATAAAATAAAAATTTTGTTAATGCAAAAAACAAGTGAAAAAATTGGTTTTATTTTGCTTATGCTACATATAATTTGCGTATTTAAATTGATTTTTCGGTGAAATGCAAACCATTTTTGTGCGACTCACCCTAGTAGAGCAAAGCGGGTTAATCAGTCTCAGGGATTTTCAAGCTATTGATATGTTTTTCATGTGCAACTTAAAGACTTTTTGATAGCGTATCATGACGCACACTTGTTTTGCACTAGGGTCTTGGCAGGAGAGTGAATCACAGACGTTATGGAAATGGGGGCCGGTCTAGACACTAAAGCGAGAGATGATATCTGCTTGATTAGACGTCCAAGTATTTCTGAGAAACGCAAAGACAGCCCAGTCTTACTTAACTCATCAGGAGGAGAGGAAGAGCCTCATCAATAAAACACCACAGCAGAGGAAGGTGACGTGGTAACATTAGACATCTAAGACTAATGGATTTGTTTACGGATTCTTAGATTTCGGCTGTTTATTAGGGAAAGGAATGGCTCACGTGTCCCGTAACAGAACGCTGAGATCAAACACACCAAACCTGTGTCATCAACAGAATGCTGGAGTTTTAAAAATGCTATAAAACAAACCAATTCGAAGTGGCATTTCTGCAATTCCAGAGAAGGACAGCAGCGGGTTGATTCTGCAGTCAGGACTTCACGAATGTTCCTCCATTCATGCTGTTATGAAGCTTTCAACAAACTGACAATTACTGAGCGTTGCTCCAGAGACTCCGGGATAAAAGGAGGAGGTTAAATAATGCAGCAGTATAGACGCTTCTTCTGTTCCTGTGCGTGAAGATGTACGATCATTTGAGGACGTGTTTTTAAAGCATGCCTCTCTTTCACATCCTCGCATGCGTATCTGATGCAACTTCTCCTCCAATTCCCAGTATCTTCCTGTGATCTCAGAGCACCTGGGCCAGTGAGTCCTGCACAAACGCACCTTGCAATGTATTTTAACAGCAACTAGATACAGATGATATGAGGTGAAGTGTGAACTGTGGAGTCCTCAGGACCCAAGAATTGAATTGGATGGCAAAACCTTCAAAGTGGTCTCGGTTTGTTTTTAGGGATCCTTGTCTTTAGAGATTCTTGCTTCTAGTGTTTTTAGTGCTTCAGCTGTGTTGATTTGTTTGCTGTGCTTTAGCTGTTAAACAGTGTGCACAAGTCTCTTGTCCTTAAATAAAGTATCTGTCTCACGTGTTTTTTAAAGACTCTGCTTGCGCTTTTAACCATTTAAAGCCTACTGTATCAAATTTCTAGGTTATTTACACAAGCAAAACTTTATATTTTGTCTAAAAGTTAAATACAATGTTATTCTTCCGATTATTATTTCATATGTCAGACTTTATAGGATTAAGATGGTGTGTTAAGACCAAAAAAAAAACAATGAGACCTCGGCATTTAATCTGATTTTTAAACATAATCATGCATCTGAATTAAAGGCTCCCTCTGAGGAACGTGTCCGATCAGGGTCAGAAAAAGCTCAAACTAGTTGTTCAAACAGTCAGTTTTGAAAATACATGGCTTTGCACATCCTTAGCAAAATCAGTAAATGTGAGCCTGCAGCACAAAAGCAGTCTTAGGTCGCTGGGGTATATTTGTAGCAATAGCCAACAATACATTGTATGGGTCAAAATTATACATTTTTCTTTTATGCCAAAAATCATTAGGATATTAAGTAAAGATCATGTTCCATGAAGATATTTTGTAAATTTCCTACCGTAAATATATCAAAACTTAATTTTTGATTAGTAATATGCATTGCTAAGAACTAATGCATTAGTTTGATTTTCTCAATATTTAGATTTTTTTGCACCCTCAGATTCCAGATTTTCAAATAGTTGTATCTCAGCCAAATATTGTCCTATCCTAACAAACCATACATCAATGGAAAGC